TCCCAGCCTGCATGGCATACCAGGCGAACAATGTGCGCGGTCAGTGGACGCGTGCTTTCTCCAGTGCTACACTTGTAGGCTTCGGAGGTCTCGGTGGTATCGTGAGTAGCTTGGTGTTCCGGGAACAGGATGCACCTGGGTACCGGCCCGGAATGTATGCCGCTATTGCGTAGGTCTTTCCCTCTGTCTGATATTGTGTTCGCGTACTGACTGTGTTTCCAGGTGCAACATTCTCATAATCTTGCTAGTCCTGTCTCTGAGTCTGTGGTTCCGGATCTGTAATAAGCAGGCGGACCGGGGAAAGCGGGTCATTGAGGGCGATGCGACTTTCCGATATACAATTTGAGATTGAGGGAATATATTCATGTCCTAGATAGGATCAAGATAGTAATGCGAAAGCAGGCCTTTTCCATTTTTCATATTTCCCCTAAATTACCCGCATGAACCAAAGCTCAAGGAAAGCTATGATACTATCGGAGCTTCCCCCCACCGAGGGGGAATTCGTGGAGTAGATGTACAGCGACTTTTCCGACGGGAAACCGGCCATTTGCTCCGACTGGAAGGCGGTGAGTGAACAGGCGGGGGCCGATCGTAAACGGTACCAACTGTGATTGGTCGGATAACCAGGGTTCACATAATTTCTTATCGCCCGCTGTAAGTTTCCCGACAGGTTCTCCGCCATCGGACATTCGGACAGGGAAAAGGAAGGAGGCGTGGGCAATAAATATTAATTTCTACAGTTCTGGCACTTTTGTCTTCTTTATTCTCCCGACTCATTGATTTACTGATTTACTTGTGGATGTGTTGAGTGCTTTCCCTAAAAGCCCTCATTATCCTCCGGTCTCAGTATGGCGGCATCATTGTTTGCCCTTCGCGGCGGCCGCCAGCTTGCTCTGCGGTCGCGTGTTCGTGTGCCTACAATTGCCCGAGCTTCATTGTCACCATTGAACACTCGGAGAGCATTGCACAACTCGCAGCCTGCGACCCGTCGCGGTGTCTATACTAGCTCCATCACCGACCATGGAGATCCCCACCCCCAGGATATCTTCCAGCCTCTCGATACCTTCCCCCGCCGCCACATTGGCCCCTCTCCGGACGCCGCGGCAGAGATGCTCGCCGTGCTCGACCCGCCGGTAGCATCTCTGGATGACTTTGTGAAGCAGGTCCTGCCCGAGGACATTCTCTCCAAGAAGGACCTCAAGGTCTCCGAGCCCCACGCCGATATCAGCCTGTACCGCTCCAGCGTGCAGGGTGGTTTGGGTGAAACCGATATGCTCAAGTTGCTGGACACCTACCGGAAGCAGATTGATATCTCTGGCAAGACCTACATTGGAACCGGCTACTACCCCACCATTGTGCCCCCCCGTTATCCAGCGTAATGTTCTCGAGAACCCTGCCTGGTACACCAGCTACACACCCTACCAACCCGAGATCAGTCAGGGACGTCTGGAGTCTCTGTTGAACTTCCAGACCCTTACTGCTGATCTGACTGGTCTGCCCTTCGCCAATGCCTCCGTTTTGGACGAAGCCACCGCCGCTGCCGAGGCCATGACCATGTCCTTCGCCACAATGCCCGCTTCCAAGCAGAAGAAGGCCGAGAAGTCCTTCGTTGTGTCTCACCTCTGCCACCCCCAGACTATTGCAGTGATGCGGTCTCGCGCTGAAGGATTTGGAATCAACCTCGTCATCGGAGATATCTTGGCCGACGACTTCAAGATTGTTAAGGACCAGAAGGACCACCTGATCGGTGTCCTTGCCCAGTACCCCGATACCGAGGGAGGTATTTACGAATTCCAGGCCCTGAGTGACTCCATCCACGGCCAGGGCGGTACTTTCAGCGTGGCCACTGACCTGCTGGCTTTGACCGTGCTGAAGGCCCCTGGCGAGTTTGGCGCTGATATTGCCTTCGGAAGTGCCCAGCGTCTGGGTGTTCCTATGGGCTTCGGTGGCCCCCATGCCGCCTTCTTCGCTTGTGCCGACAAGTACAAGCGCAAGGTCCCCGGTCGTGTCGTTGGTGTCTCTAAGGACCGCCTTGGTAACCGGGCTCTGCGTCTGGCTTTGCAGACTCGCGAGCAACACATTCGCCGCGAGAAGGCTACCAGTAATATTTGCACTGCTCAGGCTTTGCTTGCTAACATGACTGCCATGTATGCTATCTACCACGGCCCTGTTGGTCTCAAGTCCATTGCCCAGCGTATCATGTCCATGACTTCACTGCTGCGCGAGAAGCTTGTCGGCCTGGGCTATGATGTCCCGGTCCGCTCTAACAGCGCTGACGGCGGCGCTGTGTTTGACACTCTGGCCATTGAGCTGCCCACTGCTGCTGAGGCTGATGCTATCATGGCCGAAGCGCGTGCTGCTTCCGTCTTCCTCCGCCGCCTTGGCGGAAACAAGGTTGGTCTCTCTCTCGACGAGACCGTTGGCCGGGATGAGGTTAAGGGCATTTTGAATGTCTTTGCCGCTCACAAGTCTGCCTCTCCCGTTGAGGTTGATGGCACTCTTGGCCTCACCACTGTCCCCGCTAACCTCGAGCGTACCTCCTCTTACCTGACCCACCCAGTCTTCAACACCTACCACTCCGAGACTGAGATGCTCCGGTACATCCACCACCTTGAATCGAAGGATCTCTCCCTGGCCCACTCCATGATTCCCCTCGGATCTTGCACCATGAAGCTCAACGCTACCACGGAAATGATCCCTATCTCCTGGCCCGAGTTCTCCCAGATCCACCCCTTCATGCCTGCCGAGCAAGCCAAGGGCTACACAAAGATGATCGACGATCTGGAGCAGCAGCTGGCCGATATTACTGGCATGGCTGAGGTTACTGTGCAGCCCAACTCTGGTGCCCAGGGTGAGTTCGCTGGTCTCCGTGTTATTAAGAAGTACTTTGAGGCCAAGGGTGATGCCAAGCGCAACCTGTGCTTGATCCCTGTCTCTGCTCACGGTACCAACCCCGCTAGTGCCGCCATGGCTGGTATGCGCGTTGTGACCGTCAAGTGCGACACCAAGACGGGTAACCTCGATCTTGAGGACCTTAAGGCTAAGTGTGAGAAGCACAAGGACGAGTTGGCTGCTTTCATGATCACCTACCCCAGCACCTTCGGTGTGTTTGAGCCCGGTGCCAAGGAGGCCTGCCGCCTGGTGCACCAGCACGGTGGCCAGGTCTACATGGACGGTGCCAACATGAACGCCCAGATCGGTCTCTGCTCTCCTGGTGAGATCGGCGCCGACGTGTGCCACCTGAACCTTCACAAGACCTTCTGTATTCCCCACGGTGGTGGTGGCCCCGGTGTCGGACCTATTGGAGTCGGCGAGCACCTGCGTCCCTTCCTGCCCTCGCACCCTACCAGCGAGTACTTGCAGTCCAAGCGTGGTGATACCCCCTCCCCTCCTATCTCCGCTGCTCCCTGGGGCAGTGCCAGCATCTTGCCCATCACCTTCAACTACATCAACATGATGGGCGACCGCGGTTTGACCCACGCCACCAAGATCACCCTGCTCAACGCCAACTACATCCTCTCCCGCCTCAAGCCCTACTACTCGATCCTGTACACCAACGACCACGGTCGCTGCGCACACGAGTTCATCCTCGACGTCCGCCCCTTCAAGGATACCTGCGGTGTTGAGGCCATCGATATCGCCAAGCGTCTCCAGGACTACGGCTTCCACGCCCCAACCATGTCCTGGCCCGTCTCCAACACCCTCATGATCGAGCCCACCGAGTCTGAGAACAAGGCCGAGCTTGACCGCTTCTGCGATGCCTTGATCTCCATCCGCAAGGAGATCAGCGAGGTCGAGTCTGGTGCCCAGCCCCGTGAGGGTAACGTGCTGAAGATGTCCCCACACACTCAGCGTGACCTGCTCGTCTCTGAGTGGGATCGCCCTTACACTCGTGAGCAGGCTGCTTACCCGTTGCCTTTGCTTTTGGAGAAGAAGTTCTGGCCTACTGTGACTCGTGTCGATGATGCCTTTGGTGACCAGAATTTGTTCTGCACTTGCGGGCCTGTCGAGGACAGCGAATAGAGAGATCTATAGAGATCTATGATACCCATGCCGCGCTGATTGCTTTTTTTTATATGGGGGCTCATTGTTTTGGGGCTTACCTTTTCTCTGTGTATACATTCAACATTTCTTATTTTCATGACGGTAGAAAAAGTCTACCTACAGACTACGTCCTTAAGACGGTTGGATTGATTCAACATAATCATCCAGCACCTATGGATGCCAAGAACAATACAAAAAGAATCAATAAAGAAGAAGCCGAAAGTTATAATAAGGACTATTGCTGTAACTAGTATCCTAGCACTAGATCTAGAACGCCGAGATTTAATCTAAATTATGATGTTAATTAACCCTACTTTTAGAACTTGTATAAGCCAGAGATTTAATATGGATCACAATTACAATCTTTATCTACCGGCCTTATCGGTGCTGTATTACCATTCATAACCAATTTTCAATAAATTACCTTATTAAAATAAACTCACCCGCTCCAAATACCGTATCCCCCGTGTATAGCCATCGGAGACGGCCGACCCCGCCCTCCCCAATAACCTCCGCGGCCCTAATCATCCAGCCAACCCACTACAATCCACTCCACCCCGTCGATTCAAGGTCTCAAATGCTCCGAAGGAAACTTAGGAACAATCGAATCAAGCAGGAACAACCTTGGACGTTCTCCACAACTCGGGGCCCACTCTTTCCGAGCAATATTGCCTATCTAATGCCCCTCGCTTGGCGACAGCTAGCCACAAGAAGAACCGAGAAGACAGATATATAAATGTGTTCTGACTTTCTTTTCTCGCCTTGCTGGTTTTGACTTGGTTTTTCGGTCTTTTTACTTCAACTCTGGAGGCTGATCTGGGTTCTTCGTCTATAATATACACTGATACTTCTGATTGAGTTGGTTCTAGAGGGCGGTATACAGCACTGCACACATTCATCTTCAACTTGATTATACCCAGCCAATAATTAGAACTTTGAAATATATTACCGGCAATATGGGCTCGATTGCTAGCGATATTGGCTCGCAAACGGACTATGCTTTTACTATCTACCGCGGCACATTCATTCAATCGGTTCTGCCAGACTCCGGCTCTAAGCCTGAATTGTCTCGCAACCAAGGCGCATTATGGGTCTCTGCTGTTGATGGCCGCATTCATGGCTGGGATTGGAAAGCCAGTGACGAAAGTGGATTTGCCGAGTTGATGAGTCGGAATGGGTGGGTTGATATCGACGCCATTGAGGCTCAGGCCCAAGCCAATGGTCATGTTTCGAAGACCAAAGTGAAGATTGTTACTGCGAATGAAGAACAGAATGAATTTTTCTTCCCCGGATTTATTGGTGTGTATTAAATCCAACTTATCAAAGTTCAAGTCTCGATACTAACCACATATCAACTCAAGACACCCACATCCATGCCCCGCAATACCCCAACGCAGGCCTCTTCGGCTCATCAACTCTTCTAGACTGGCTAGAGACCTACACATTCCCCGTAGAGTCACGCTTCGGGTCCCCACCAGACCCAAAAACAGGCCATCAAACCCAAACGAACCCCAAAGAAACACCCCTCCTAGCTCAACAAATCTACGACCAAGTAATCTCCCGCACTTTATCCCACGGCACAACCTGCGCCTCCTACTACGCAACAAACCATGTCCCAGCCACAAACGCCCTATCAACACTCTGCCACACCCGCGGCCAACGCGCCTTCATCGGCCGCGCATGCATGGATAACCCAGACTTCTGCGTAGACTACTACCGCGACTTCAGCGCAGACGACTCCGTCATCGCAACCCGCCAGACAATCGAGTTCATCCACACCCTAGACCCAGAAGGAAAGCTCGTGAAACCGATCATCACACCGCGTTTCGCGCCCTCATGCACGAGACCCGCATTACAGAGTCTCGGCGAGTTGGCTGCGAGCTATTCACCCCCGCTGTATATCCAGACGCATATCTCGGAGAATATCAACGAGCTCGCGCTCGTCAAGGAACTCTTCCCTGAGGCGGACAGCTACGCAGATGTCTATGATAAGTACAATCTCCTCACGCCACGCACGATCCTCGCGCATGCGGTGCATTTATCTCCCGATGAGAGAGCTCTGATCCGCACGCGCGAAGCAAAGATCTCGCACTGTCCGGCGTCGAACTCGGCGCTGGGATCGGGGATTTGTCCTGTTAGGACGCTGCTTGATGAGGGGATTACGGTTGGTCTAGGCACGGATGTTAGTGGGGGGTATAGTCCTAGTATTCTTGAGGCGGCGCGACAGGCTTGTCTTGTTTCGCGGTTGTTGGGTCAATCGGCTGCGTGGCAAAGGGATCATCCTCAGGCTGATGGGAGGGAGAAGTTGTCTGTGCAGGAGAGTCTTTACCTTGCTACACGTGGTGGAGCTGCGGTTGTTGATATGGGGAGCGACCTTGGCGGGTTTGATATGGGGATGTTGTGGGATGTGCAGTTGATTCGGCTTGGCGGGGTTAAGTTCGTGGAGAAGAGTCCATTAGATGGGGTCCCTGGTGATGGGAGTGCGGATCTTGTGCAGGCTGGTCCTGTGGGGAATGTTGATTTGTTTGGGACAGAAACTTGGGAGGAGAAGATTCAGAAGTGGGTTTGGAGTGGTGATGACCGGAATGTGAAGGCTGTTTGGGTTGGCGGGAGGTTGGTTCATTCAAGGGTTTGAGTGGCGATGGTTTTCTATGTATATATTTTTATGGTTTAGATTTTCTTTTTACGTATTATATGTGGTTTTAGAATCTAGTCTATACATATTTATGACATGTTTGATATTTGAACTTAATACTTACCACCTTTAAGGGTATCTATACCATAGGTAGTTGAGTGGCATTAAGCAACGCACGGCCATTCGTATTCTTGCTACTTCGAAAAAAAGAAAAAAAAAAAAAGTATCTTCTGCTCTGCTGCATTCCAAACTCCATTTCCTGTCCTAGATATCTATTGGAAGAGCTCCACACAATCGAAGATCTATTGAAACGGGTAAGCTTCCATTAAAAAGACGAGATGATCAGAAAGTTACTCACAAAGTTCGGGCTCAGGTAAGTATCTCCAGAGCTACCAGAAGCAACGCTGATGGTAATCTGAGGCAAATTAGCATGATATCATCTGACTAGGCTCAAATGTGCTTACAGTATTAGTTCCAGCGACGATAGTGCCAGCCGGAATCGAAATATCGTAAACCTCACCGAGACCTCTGTATGCGCCGCGAGTCACGCCACGGGAGTTGAGGTTAGTCGGGGCAGACGGGATGGCACCCGAATAGCTGTTAACCTATTTAAAGTGTTAGATACAAGCCAAGAGTCTAAAGATAGGGAATATAGCTTGAACATACCACAACCTGGGGCCGACCAGACGCAAAGGAAAGAGTTGTGCCAATCCTCAGGGTCGCAGCTCCGGTCTGTGAAGAAGATGCCGTGAATTTAATTGTCAAAGGTGAATTCACCGATTTGAAAAGAGCCATGGGGAAAGCAGAGAGTTCAGAGCTGCCGACTGTGTATGTACCAGGGGACCAGGAAGACATGCGCGTGTCGGAGGGATGCATGCGGAGCTGGTTGGCTGCATTTCGGAAGCCATTTGGTCTATAGGTAGTCAATATCGGAACGGCCATGTAGAGTGAAATCATTGCACTTACGTTCCATCCCAGTCTCCGATCTTGAACACTGTTGTTCCAGTATTTACAGACCCGGAGATACTCTTCGAAGTGGTTGATCCGGCAGTAACAGTCACCGACGAGGTGGCAACGGCGTATTCGCCCTGATAGTATACCATGGTGTAGGTGCCAGGCTTCATGGCGGGGGAGGTGAAAGCCCCAGAAGACGAAGCGTAGGTCCAGTACTGTGCGGCATCGTTTTTCCTATCTTGAATTTAGATGTGTGCTCATTCCGGTACGGTCTGCTTTGAACGTACCAGTGGATCACCCATTTGAAAGTCGAGTCAGCCCCGGATGCAGTACCCTTAACATAGCCTCTCCCAGATGTGGCAACGTATCCCTTGATATCGAGGTCGGCAAAGAACGATGTGTCGAGAGTGGAACTGGGGGTACCGCTCCGGCTGAAGGTCATCGAGTACGGGCCGTGCAAGCCCTGGCGGTAGGTCTCGGTCTGAACGTGTCCGGAGTTCTGCATAGAGTCAGATGCTGCTATTGGTTGAGTGATAGTGGTTACATACCATGTACCAGTACAGGCCAGTGTAAGAGCCGACATTGTTGGTGTTGATATCACTGGTGCATATTAGCCTGGATCAAGTTATGTCGGCCGAGGAGCTTACCGATGGAAAGGTCCGCCAGAGGATGTTTCGTATTGATTCAAGATCATGCAGACGCGATGCGCGCTTCCAGAGACACCTGTTTGCGTTAGAAGAAATCGCATTAAACACAGTAGATGTATTCTTACAGTGGATATTATCATCGATGAACCGTTGGCTAGAGTAGAACTTGCTTCGGGTTTCTCCGTTAACCAAAAACTGATATGTGTCAGCTGTTTATACCAATTAAAAAATTCCTTAAAGAGAACATACCACATCCTCTCCCTCAATAACAGAACCACCTCCGATATTGGACACATCGCCGAATGGCTCTTCGTTGGGAAGCAGGTCTGCATTCAGGCGTGCGATATATCGAAGTTCTCCAATGCTAGGCTCTGAAGAAAGTCATGAGTATAGACACCACACCAGAGCAACAAAGAACACTAACCGGCAGATGTGTATGTTGCCATGTGAATTGTTGAATCCCCCTTGTGGACAACATAGTAGTGTGTCAAGGTGGAGGTTTCGCAGGTCACCTTGATGTAGTCGCCTATATTGATCAGGACATTTTTCAACAGATATCTTGTTTCTGAACCCACCGCTCTCCGTCGCAGACACAGTTGCGCTACCAAGACCCGATCCGATATGGGAACCAGTCGACTGGTATTGGAGCTCAGATCCATAGTAATTGATGGAAGTAATGTCGCAGCTTTTCCGGTTGACAGTAAACTTCAGGGGGTTCGAAGAGCCAGCATCAATTACATAGGCAGCATCGCTAGTAGTAATTCCGAAGGCTGCAGATGCCTGCTCAGCCAAAAGGGCTAGCGAAGCAATGGCTAGGGACTTGAAAAACATCATGTCCAACGTGTGCTGTGGAGAAACCTGCTCGTGTCACACAATAGACGATGAAGAGTGGACATATAGCATAATATATAGGAGGGGACTTTTGTCCCTTCATGTTGAAACGCTGCATGGTGGAAGGTGGAGATTTGGCAGCTAGCTAAACCTCCGTTCCTGCATAGTGTTCCGTGAATTTGTTTATAGTTCCACCAATGCGTGGCGTTTCTGGCCCCCTGGCGGCTGGATGATTTCCGTTCCAGGAGCGGGGAGTCTGCAGACTCGACGCAAAGGTCCCATTGGTTGAAAATAAGCACGAGGCCGGCTTCTGTGAGCGCAAATTCACCGGGATGTACTCCGTACGGAGGCCATAGCTCGTATAGCCCTGCCAAGAGCTCCCCCAACTCCGTGTGGGACTCCGTGTGGGGTAGTGATTGTTTCAATGCCACGGAGCGCCCGTAGTAATCGAAGAATCCGATCTCTGAAACATTTTGATGTTTGGATGGATATTTTGAACACACTAGGTAAATTTCCCGGTCACTCTAAATCTGAAAAGAGTTATTCCCGTCTCGTCGGACTATCTTTTCCTAAAATGCCGAGACTGGCGTCGGGATGTTGGATATTATCTTTAGCGTGTTTCAACCAAGACGCCTAAAATGGGGGAAAAGAAGGAACTCAGTGGATATGCAGTCAATAGCTTTCGAAATGAACAGATGCCGTTACCTTAGGAGCTAGACTAAAGCAAGCACGTCATTTATCCGGTCTATACAGAGTTCCTTGGACATTTCTCTTGGCTTATACAAACCGAAACTCAGGGGAAGAAGATACATAAACCCTAATAGTACTTTGATAATTTGAAATAATTAGAGGATATGGTACTGCATAGAATTATCGTCTGCTCGAGGAACAACCGATATTTGTAGGATGCCAATCATCGCACGCATAGTCAATAAAGAAAGGAGCGTGAGATCCCGAGATATTCTGTCATACAAGATAGACTGTTACAGAAAAAGCCACAATATTGAAAACCACAAATAACCAAAAAGTCACAATCCAGCATGTCCAACTAGAGATATATATGCATCCCAAATGGGAAAGCAATTACCGAGATGGATGGGTGGACTAGCCAGCTTGGTCAAATATATTCGGAAGCATGGCTAAATAGACGAGAGTAAGTTAATGTTTTAGAATAGAAGTACTGAGATAAAAAATACACTTATATATCTTTCCTGGGGATATCTGTTCTGATATTGAGTCCAGCCCCTAGGGGAAGTCCCCACACTCGGTGCCCGGCACAATTGGCTTCCTGGGACCTCCCCCTTGTTTTATGCATGCACTTGTACCAGTGGTAGACGCGTCTGGAATTGCGATCGCAAAAACCATGCTGCATAGAGCGAGAATGCTACCAAGTTGGAAGTACTTCATTGTGTGTGTGTGTGTGTGTGTGTGGGAGAAAAGTAGAATGTGGTGTGACCTTCAAAGAAAGCGTCAGGTCATCTCTTTATTTATATTCCCAAGGGAGGCAAAATTGATCGCATGTCATAAACAAGCATTAGGTATTTTCTTTCGGAGTTTTCTTATTCAGATGAGGAGAATTATCTATTGGGTAACCTTTATAGTTCGAGATCGGCATTCTGTGAACCCCGATGTCCGCGAGAGTATGGGGTTGATTGGATGAAAAGACCCAAATCTGTCCTACGTTGTGTGAACAAAGAACAATATCATGTCGATGATCAGAAATCCAGCATGTATCCTTGAAAGGCTCTTACGCGTTTTGACACCTTCTTGCCGAAAATGGGGCTCAATAGGCTTAGCTGATAGACGCGGTGTTAAACGTGTTAAACGTGTCGATCATTTGCCTTGAATTTTGCTGCTTAAGGTACTTCATGGCGGCCTTTGTTTTCTTGACTTTCCTCGGATCCTTTGACCTTCCGATACTATGTTGCAAAATGGTACTAGCACGTTTAAGGATTTCAATGTCGTCCAGCTCAAGATTTTCCTCGTCTTCCTTCCGTTTTTCACACTGCTTGCTGAAACTGCAGCGGATTTTCTGCTCAGTGGCAGTTGCAGCAATGGTTTTCTCCGTGCATCATAACACAGGAAACGAATTTTCCGACCTCCCTTTGGCAGTGGTCACATGCTGTGTTGTCTTCCAGTCTCTCCTCGACCGATTGCCCAAGCAGTGCTTCCACATTCTTTGCTCGCCTGCGCACCTGCGCATCGAACGCCTCACCATCCACCATGATTCTGTTTTGGTGGTTGAGGTACATGCGTAGATATGGCTCGCGCAGGAGGAGCATTTGTCAAAGTCTGTAGAGTAAAGAATTACGTCTTTTGGCTAGATATCTTTAGCATTTCAATTCGAATGCTTGGGAGCTAGGAAGACCACAGGCCCCCCCGGATACGGAAAGCCGAGGAGACATCAAGTCTATTAACGAGAGGTGAATATAAATGTCCAGGTTATGAATTTAGTCTTCTTTAAGTACACACCAAATAGGTCCACATGGTCCTGGTCAAATCTCATGATTCAAGATGTTTCCGCACTCACATCTGGAGTTCCCTTCCGAGAGTAAGGTGGAATAAAATGATATAGCATCCCGTGAATGATAGATGCACTCAACGGTCCTACCCAATGTATCCAATGATAAGAAGCAAAATGCGATCCAACCATTGCTCCGAAGCACCGTGCAGGGTTTCCCGCTTTGAACTTGTTAGAATTCCAAGTTTTGCCAGGGCGATATACAAACTCACAGAACCCAGTGTACCCAATCCGGCTAAAACCAGTCACAAAGGTACACATTCCTAAAACAATACCAACAAAAATAGGGCCCAAGGCTGGCCCGAAGACAGAGCGCTGTCGAGGATCAAGACCGACACCGAATGAGAGAAAGATCAAAGCGAAGTCCGTCGTGAATTCTATGGCGAATGCGCTGCCAACTGAGACTTTTGTAGTATCAATATAGCAACCTGGCACGATGAACTGGATATATTCATCAGTATAAGTTCTTCGCGGCTTAAAGGGGGAGGGTGATATACAGATCTCGTGTCGAAGCTCGCTCTCAACAGCAAACCCGCCATGGCCCCTCCAAAAGTCTGAAATCCGATGTACAGAATGCATCGGGGCAACGTCGCCAGTCGCCCGAAGAATGTGGCGATGGTGATGGTAGGGTTAAGATGCGCCCCAGAAACCGGGCCTGTGGCGAAGATGAACAGAGGAAGAACGAGGATCGCCGTAAGTCCACCAAGTAGGCTGGGTACAAGTGCACCGGTCGCAAAGGCGCTTCGCAGTATTACCATTAGAATCTCAGCCAAAAAGGAAGCTGAAAAAAGAATTTACTTCACCGTTTGACTTAGGCCCACAGCGATGAAGCAGGTCAAGTATACCAGCAAGCATGTTCCTAGTGCTGTGAATAATAATTTCACATGCCTATTTGTTGGTGCTCACATACCTATAGCTTCGACACCAGCGGCCTTCCATAGCTCTACCTGTAGAATACGTCGCAAAGATAGGGCATCCTTTAATGGGATCCAGGGAGCAGCGTCGGGAAACTTCTGCAACAATTCTATCTGCGTACAGTTGTTTTTATCCATTGCGAACTCCTGATTTGCGCCAATGCGCCCAGCGAATGGGACGACGGTGGTTGGCGAAGGTAATTCCTCGGCATCATGTCCGCTTCTCCAGAATTTGGCGTGTGAGAGCATGGTCTGAATATTTCAAGGCATGAAATATTGTTTCAAGGGACTTAACAAATGGACGAACGAGTCTCAAGCCTTAAGGCGGAAATATATCTTGAAGCTTGAGGTGACGTAACCCATGTCGGGAATGCCAGAGATACATGGAAGTTTATCGTTCAGATAACGGGCAGCCGGAATAGGCCAAATTTGACAAGCTTCCTTTTATACCTGCTTAATTGCTGTATAAAACACAAGACACATTTCATTTTCCCGTCAGTTTATTAAGCTGCATATAAATAAGGTTCCTACGGACTCCGTAGATATCTGTCCCTAAAGCCCATATAGGATGCCAACTCGATAACAGCAAATGCACATTAGTAGACGACTGTATTTACAATATAACCTGGTATCTCTTTAACGATTCCTTGCTAGTAGCTTCCAAAGCTGAACTTTGGTATTGATAACAAAGTTTGAGTTGCTCGGTTCGAATGTCCAACTTTGTCCATCGCAACGGCTACTAGATGAAGCCAAGCCCATCTACGGGTCCCGCGGGTGCCGAGTCAAAGCGAGTTTGGCATGTCTCGCTTACCAAGGTAGTGTTATAGATTGGAAAGCACAATAAACAAGCTTTACATGAATATGTATTTATATCTAGTCAACCCGCTGGTTACGAGGACTATTTAAGTAATATCAACTGTTCAATTCAATATGTCTACCTCAGAGCCCAAATCTATCTCGATTCTTGGCCTTGGCCAAATGGGCCACGCGATTGCTTCAAATTTTCTTTCCCAAGGATTCAAAACCTTCGTTTGGAACAGAACTCCCAGCAAAGCCGCCGATCTTGTCGAACAGGGAGCTATCCAGTCCTCTTCATCGACTGAATGTATTCGCTCTAGTCCTCTCAGCATTCTGTGTGTCAACATAGATGACATTGTCATGGATATTCTAGCTGCGGCTGATGACATCTCCGGACATACAATCGTCAACATTGTCAATGGCTCACCGCAGCAAGTTCGAAAGACTGCCGAGAAATCCATTTCTCAATACATGGCAGCTGGGTATCTCCATGGCTCAGTGATGGCCTCCCCGGGCCTAGTCAGGTCTGGAGGAGCAATGACCATTTTCGCCGGGTCATCTGAGACTTTCAAGAAATGGGAGCTGGCTCTTCAGCCCCTCGGGATCACACTCTGGCTGATGGATGATGTGGGGGCCGCGCCACTGTACGATTGTTCGCTTTTGTCGATCCTCAGCGGCATCTTTTCTGGCTTCATGCAGGCCCTGGCTATGATAGGTGCGGCCGGGCACAGCGAAACGGAGTTTGCACGTGGCTTTGTTGTTCCACTCCTGGGGCAAATGGAGGAGTGGCTTGTGCGGACTGCTGAGGAAGTTCAGAATCAGGAGTACGTCGCCGAGAAGAACGGGTCTCCTATCACGGTCCAGCTTGACTCCACAAAGCACATTTTCGAAACCGCCAAGGAGCTCGGTGTATCCAGTAGATTGTTGCAAGGTTTTCTCGACGTTGTCAAAGAAGGCGTACAGCGCGGACAAGGGCGCGAGGAAATTTCTGGGCTCGTTCGTCTCCTGCGAGAGCCAGAATAGGAGCATTAGGGAACTGTCCTCGAGAGATGCCAGATTTGATGAATAGATCTGTTAAGGTAGTCATTTGACAGATGGGTTGTTTGTCAAGCTTCATCCCGTTACTTACTTAAGTAGTTTCCTGTTTGATAGTAGAGAACCAACCCTTCTTCTCACTCTTTGCTCCATTTTAGATGTCTTTTTAGATGTTATTTTTAGGTGTATGTAAAGGCGGTAAAAAAAGGCATACTCTATAAAAAATATTTTTCTATATATAATATTTGATTTAAACCTCTCAGTGTCTCATGTGGACCGCTGTTGCTTTTAACGAGAAAATTGGGCAGAATACTGCCAAGATGGAAGCCGCTTACATCCAATGTGTCTGCCGAGGAAAGTTCTAACACTGAAACGGTCAACTTACTCCTGCTGAACATCTCAAAGTTATGATAACAGCAAGCCCGCGAGCTACCGCCAGCAGCCCTCCATACACCGGTGATCAAAAAGAACCCTATACCTTCATCTCTCACCTCGGAAGTCCCAGCTTACATGAACCAAGGATCGTTATTGAGGTCGGCTTCAGTCAGACATATTTAAGTCTCATTGAAGATGCGAAATTTGGTTGGAAGGAGTGGGGGCGAGTGTGCGTAAGATTCTTCTTGTGAAAATTTTCAAGCGTAAACAAGGCGTTGCTGGAACAATCGAACTCTGGGGACGAAATTCTACAGGCAGTGCATACATGATCTAGAGTAACCGAATTTTCCCGGTTCATGGGCCGTTTGAACGGCCCATTTATCTCACCGTCAACAAAGAGGAATGTGAGACATGTCTCAAAGAAGAAGGCCTAGTCAATTCCTGCGTCGTGATTGATATCTTGGGGTATGCCCACGTGAGATGTGGCGAAGGGTTCAGAATCCTTGAGTTCCTGTATACAGATTGGAACTTTTGAACAAATATACCGTAGATATAATGTTTATCCCATCTATTGTCGCCCGATGTAGGAGTCCATACCTGGATGTTTGGAAAGTATTGGTAATATACGGCCAAAGGCCTACAGACTAGACTAGTCAATGAAAAAATGACGTATCAATTTTCTATAGAGTTATATCGATTTTATGGTCATTAGGGACGAGTAAGGGCAAAGAAACAGAGTACCTTATTAAAAATTTATATACATATCGAGCCATTCCTATTATAATAGTGCTCACAGCCCCAAAATTCTGCGCATACCAACGTTGCCAACAACATAACCTCCGCCTAATCTGAATGTCCCTGGACCCTCCAATTTTGCCTCATGGCGTCCCATCGCCATTTCCGTCAAGAACGACCCAAGGTGCTCCGTTGGAGAATGCATCGACTTCATGAGATACCGTACGCTGGGGCCAAGCACAGCCATACCAATATTCGAGACAATTCCAGTCATCCCAGCAGACGGAATATACGGCTTGATGGCGTCGTGTGTCGCCGGATCAACGAATGCAGGCCTCACGCTATCAACCCGAAAGGTTGGCTTTAGCTCTGATAACGTCCCGAGAAGCGTTTCAGTCTCGCCCTTTACTCTCGCAAAGATTGGAGAGAACCGGCCGGGGGTTTGGGTGGCGCCTTCACCAGATACATGGATGAATCGGAAGGGATGGCCTGATGGCTTGATTGTGGAAAATGCATTTGCAGCTGCTAGGGTATAATCCTTGGTGATTTTGACGTATTGCCTATTTCCTGTTAGTTTCAATATTCATATAAACAAAGGGATCTCTCGTACTCTTTGGTGACATTGGTCTGGCTTGTCCCCAAGGCCCAAACACATCCATCCGCATCTTTCAATTGATCGAGCAGCTCTGGCTTGTATGATTCAAAGTCCGTGTGGGTGATGACATGAACACGTGGATCTTTTGCATCTTCGGCCATTCGCACGGGGCTTCGGCTCAAAATTGAGATCTTGGACACTGCTGCGTTTTTGAGCATGGCGTCGAGCACTGAAGACCCGACTAGCCCGGTTGCCCCTGTGAGAATAAGATGCATTTTGGTAATATTGTTGAATTTTTGGAATGGATTTGAAGAATAGAATAGGAGGGGAAACCTCGATTATATACCTCTAATTCGTTTAGTCCGCTCCGAATGCTTAAATCCGCGAAAGAGCAACCTTCGTTGGTGCCCTCGATGCGGCTGATGCTGACAGCGCGCTAACCATATACGGTTAGTGCACATAGTACTACAGAAGGCGTTTTGAAGAATTTTATTGGTTGGATTTAAGGCGGACCCATTGCTTTAACCCCATTTGGACGATGAACGGAGATAGAGGTTTACTATTATTGCCAGCCCAGGAGGAAGAGCTCAACAATATCCTACAGTAATTACGCTTTCAGCGTATAAAGCCACAAGCCAGTTATCACACCTAATGCCATTTGTGGCTAAGCTTGAAGGTAACTTCATGCCTAGTTAATCATCCCAGAAAGTTACCTAAGGTCATCATTATCCTAAAAGATGTTAGAATGGGGAATTGTGTGTCCTTTAATTGTATTATGAAAATAGACAGGCATCCCAACCAGTTTCCGTAATATATCACTGGGCAAAAAGGAATTGTCAGATGCCAAGCTGCACCTAAAAAGGTCTGAATCGCGCCCGAGGCGATCAATCAATATTCTGCTTCACTGTATCGTATCACTTTCAAACTATGCTATCCAGATTTCGAGAAAATCATGCAAACTATAATGTGTGCTGATGATATGGCCCCGGAATATGCGGAGAAAATATCTTATAATTGGCTGCTTCAATTCCTGAAACTTGACATTAAGAAACTGATCACGATGTTCATCCTCGAGTACCATGAAAAAGACGGTACGAAGTTCGGTATACTCGAAAAGGGTTCTTATAATATCTCCTTCCGGATGAGGTACCGAAACTATGCTGTTATTATACGCCTATCTCAGCCCGGTGCGGTATTTTCCCCTAAGGATAAAGTCATGAACGAAGATGCTACAATGCGATTTCTTATAGACTAGATATCGATACCTATTCCATTCATTCTTCACTCGAGTAAGAAGGCAAGCTCCCTTGAACTGAGCGTATTTAATATGATAGACTATCTCCAGTACGAAAGAAATATGTACGACGCTCTTAATACCCCTGGACATCCGAAAGGGGAACGTGAAATTCTGGACCTTAATATTAATGATCTTACACTTGAGCATTTATACGGATAACTAGTGGGTATATTACTCTAACTTTCGAAGAAGATTTTATTTCCCTGTAAAGGATCTCTTACTTAGGTTGATGACTTTACCTAGGAAGTATCCAGCAGGCCGTTCCTAATGAATATAAATGAACTGGTACGACTAGGAGGCCTCCCACGCTCTAAACTTCTCGATAGTATATTGAGTACAACTTCTTATTATCTTGAAGCCCTTGCGGACCTTAATATTTAGTACTTGGTATATCAGAGGAACGATACTGTAGAGTCAGTAGATGACTATCGACGAAAATTTATAGTATAGCAGCCTTTTCGTATGCTTACTAGAGAAAATCGACTTCTTGATTTACTTTATAAATAAGGTCCTTTCAAAATCTAGTGTGCCGATTTTCGACCGGGGAATGTACTACTCTACGAGAATATGTAAATTCCTAGAGTGGTAGGTTGGGAGATCACCTATACGGTACCAATTGAGTTCTCTTATACGCTGCCTTGGTGGCTGCTCATTTAAAAGCCCGAGTTTTGGCTAAATGGTATAGATAACTGGGAAAATGTGTTTGACTATCGCCTTCAGACGTTTCTTAGGGTGATGAGAGATTGCGAGGACACGGAGACTCAGAAAGGTCACCTAAAAGAGAACTAACGATTTGATTAAAATGAATGCATCATAGCCACAGAGGTGACTACAATGCTTTTCAACTGAGTCAAGACTTTTATCCGTCATCCTACCACAGATTATCAATCTTGACGCCTTCTGCGGTAGAAATGGCATCAGCGAGGACTGAACATGCTGCCACGCAGAACAGCACTTTTTCGGTGGGGCCTGCCATGGTAGTAAGCTCCGGAAACAAATTTGTAGACTAGATCGAGACTGGGAGGTGCATGTGACTCGCTAAAATTGGGTTAAAAGGTAATCTATGCGAAAAGAGTTGGTGGCTGTGGAACAAAATGTTTGTCGAGCTTAGAAATGGTGGAAATGGAAATAAAAACGGGACAGATCTTGAGTGATAAGTTGATACTCAGAGAAATATTCAGCTCTGGAACCTGACAGATTTGAAGGATCATTCTTTCAAGCTTACTATGCTCATGTGCGAATGATCTCTGGTGAGATAAACACGCTGCAACCCTCTTAGGATTAGTAGATGCTGGTTCCTAGCTCCGAGCTCCGAGCTCCGACTTTTCTAGGCTTCAGTCTGACGCTGACCGATAGCCATTATATAAAGCAACTTTGCTAGTATTGAGTATTGGTCTCTAGGGAAGTCTCGTTCATCACTAAAATGTGGAAATTTTGGCTTGCAACACTAGTCGGCGTGGGCCATGCCTCGCAAACCGTGCTCCGACCAGAGCCCGTGGCGTCAAACTTCACCACCTTCCGGAGTCCAAATTCACCCCATTCAATACGCATCCGACAACAAAATGAGTCCATCTGTGCAGCGGGCTCCGCTCAGTATACCGGATGGTTAGATATTGGTCCGAATCACCTGTTCTTCTGGTACTTCGAAAGTCAGAATGATCCCGCTGCTGACCCACTAACGTTGTGGATGAACGGTGGGCCCGGAGGCTCTAGTTTACTGGGCTTGTTCCAAGAAAATGGGCCATGTCTAATAAACGAGCATGGCAATGGGACTATTCATAACCCATGGGGCTGGTCTCGAAACTCCTCATTACTTTTCGTTGACCAACCGGCCGATGTGGGCTGGTCTTACATTGACGAGGGCTACGACGTCGCCCGCGATTCTCACGAGGCCGCAGTTGACATGCGCCGTTTTCTCCAAATCTTTGTATCTGAGATCTTCCCCCACAAACGCTTCTCAGATTTGCATATTTCTGGTGAATCCTATGCCGTAAGACTTGCCCCTTATCACTTTGTATGCACCACTGACACCCTCAGGGCAAATACATCCCCTATCTTGGGGCCGAGATTGTGACCCACAACCAGCAATATCCCTCGGAGCCCCAGATCAACCTGAAGTCATGCCTGATAGGTAATGGCTTCATGTCATCCAAGGACATCACATTCGGATACTGGGAGACGCTTTGCACAACCAATCCCGGCGTTTCCACGCCCGTGTTCAATGAGACCCGATGCGATATTATCGCTGCCAACATGCCACGATGCATGGAACTCTATGATACTTGCGCCGGAAATCCCGATGTTGCAATCTGCACGGCTGCATATGCCGTCTGCTACAAAGGAATCGTCGGTTTGTATGAGGATGAGAGCAAGAAGGGAGGCCGTAACCGCTTCGACAGTAAGGATTCCCTACCCACTATCTACATGCCACCTCACCTAACGCAAAGCAATCAACAGTCACAGCCCCATGTTATATTGATGAGATATGCTACAAAGAAGCAGCTTATATCGAGCAGTACCTGAATTCGCCGGTTGTTCGAGAAGCCCTCTCACCACCGGAAGGAGTCAAGGAGTACGGGTTTGAGTCCAGCGCCGTGGCTGATGCCTTTGCAACAACGCCGGAGGCAATGACGTCGTCATCCGACCATATCATTTTCCTGCTTTCTCATGGAGTGGATTTCCTGGCCTATCAGGGAAACCTTGACCTAGCTTGCAACACGGCAGGAAACCTCCGGTGGGCTAACTCGCTTGCCTGGAAGGGACAGAGTGAGTTTACATCCAAGCCGCTGCTCCCTTGGAACTCAAACGTCGCGGGACGTCTTGAAACGGTCGGCAACGCGAAAGAGGTGCGTGTGCAGTTGGACGGGCTGGCAGAGAAATCACGGTTTGCATTTGTGACGGTTGATGGGGCAGGTCATATGGTGAGTTCATCGATGCAGATATCTTAATCCGACCAGACGCTGATAGTTGTAATAGGTTCCCCAGGATCGCGGTGATGTGGCATTCGACATTTTGACCCGATGGATTGCGGGTGATTCCTTTGCTTAGTCCTTGAATAATGCTCCTGGGAATTCATACCAGCGTTCTACTATACAGGAAACCTTTCCTCTCCGAGAAGATGAGACAAGCGATACATCCAATGAGCAGTAAACCCCTGAGCAGGCTCTCTTGCAATACCTGCATGGGGCTTATGACTACACCCCGGGATTCTTTCAGGCATCGTATAAAAGACCCAAACCAGCGGGGGAGTTAGTTTACCCCCTCGTAGCTAATAAAATCTCTATTTCACATATCCCCGACGTCATGCCTAAAACAACAGAAAGCAAACGAGCTCCTCGTGAGCCACCCTACGAGGCCGCAGCCAGCGGCGATCTCGAAGCCGTCAAAACACTTCTCGACAATGGAGCAGACATCAACGCAGTAGACTCACCAGGCTCATCGCGCCTTCACGCTGCGGCGAAGAAAGTCCATTGAGACATCGCCCAACTCCTCCTCGAGAAGGGCATATCACCATGGACCCGAGATTTGTCTCAGTGCTGCCCGTGGCGGCCACATTGAGACAACCCGACTGCTCCTTGAATGTGACCGAGTGACAGGAAGTGTTGATAACAAACAGGGGATGACACCGCTCCATTTTGCTGTTGAAAGTAGAAACGTGGAGCTGGTTCAGCTTCTCCTAAGCTTCAACATCACGACGACAGCTTGCTGTCACGGCGGTGACACCGCTCTGCATTTCGCAGCTAAAGACAGCCACGCTGAACTCTGCGAAATTCTCATGAAATACGACGACGCCCGCAAGCCCGGTTTGTGGCTTCGCATGCTTGTATCACGGTGCCAGCTAAAATGAAGAACTTTTGCAATCATACACCGATTGCCTATGCTGTTCAAGAGGGACATGCTGGTGTCGTTGATGGTTTTCTTCGCAGTAAGAGGATCTTTCCCAAGGCCAGGGATGGGTATAATGAGCTCCTCTTTCATGAGGCTGTTCAGGTAGGAAAGTGCGATGTCGTTCAGGTTTTCCTTGATAATTGCGTTCCTATTAATCTGAGAGGACGTGATGGGAAGAGGGCCCTTCATCTCGCCGCTGCTGATACACGCAATTTTGAGATGGCTCGTCTTCTGCTCCAGAACGGTGCTTCTATTAAGATTAAGGACTCTATTGGCAACACGCCGTCCGATCGTAGCAGAAACCCGGAGGTGACTATGCTTATTCGGAATTGGGCTGACCAAGCTGCCGCTTCGGATCCTAAAGGCAAGAAAGCCTCGCGCCCTCCGAAGGCGACGGCGGCTGCACCCCCGGAATATGTTGCGTGAATCCTTTTATATGTGTTGCAGCTCGTTGTACCTCTTATGATTTTGCTATGTCATTTTGCATATGATATCACCCTAGGAGTATCAATTAATACAAGAAAGATCTAAAATGTGCAGACGACCTTCCAATATATTAGGGAGGCTGATTCCAAGATTTGAAAATTTTATCTACCATATAATATAGGAATTTTCAAGACTTGTCCATTGCGCTAGGATAAAAGCTGGAAAATCGGGAAGCGCCAACAGACCAACAGTGAAATATTTAACGAGCAGTATACCCGCCATCGACTGGAAGACAAACTCCAGTTACCCAGCTGGCGTCATCACTTGCCAACACAACAGCTATACGAGCAATGTCCTCCGGCATCCCAGGCCCTTTCAACGGATGGCGCCTTTTCAGGTCTTCCCAAGGAGTCAAGTTAGTAGTTGTCTCCTTGAAGATAGCCGTCTGAGTGTCTGGACTTTTGTTAGTAAAAGCTTGGCCAATCCTCGAATCAATTGACTCACAGCCAGGACAAATGGCATTGATGTGAATGTTATCAGGGGCATAATCTAAAGCCATCTGCCTTGTCAAGTTACTCACAGCACCCTTTGATGCACAGTACGATGCTAGTTTAAGCATCAGCAACACCCGGGTCCATAGATTTAGGAGTTGAACTCACGATTCTCCGGCCCACCAATCATACCCATAATGGAAGAGATATTGACGATCCAACCCCGATCTCCGGAAGAATGGGGTTCTTGCGCTAGCATTTGAGTAAGGGCATACTTACAACCCAGGAACACAGACTTTGTGTTGACACGCATCGTTGTATCCCAAGTCGTCTCGTCTGTCAGATGTAGTACAGCAGGCGTCCGTGCCTCGATACTGATCCCGGCATTATTGACCAGACTAGAAAAAATCGTCAGAGAGATTGTTCAAGACCTTTAGTACCGGGCGTTCATACATATCCAGTCGTCCATACTCTTTCACGGCGACCTGGACCAAGTTCTCCATTTGCGTTGCGTCCCCCACATCCGTCTTCACGAAAGTTGCCTGTCTACCATCCCTGAGAATCAGATCATGTGTCGTGATCTCAGCCTCCTCCTGGGATCGTGCAGTTGGTGTCAAATCAGCGCAAACAACTTTCGCTCCCTCTTTGGCATAGCGAATGGCGATCGCTCGTCCCAGGCCAGATGAAGATCCAGTGACGATGGCTACTTTGTCTTGCAGACGAGATGTTTGCGACATGATTGCTTAGACTCTCTCTTCACGAGATAGCGGCTGTTCAAGAAGAGGTGAGGAAAGAGGGGTTATTGCTCTGTCAGACTTCATGGCTACGTTGGCAGGTTGTAGAATTGGAAACTGGGCCGAAGTGCTCGTGGACGTCAGTTGCCCTTTATGGAAAGAATATAACATCTTGAATTGTTGCAGTTCATTAGACTCTGCAACTCATATTCGGAAATCAGGCCGAGTTCGTTTTCTATAGCCGAGAAGCCTGATAGAAAGCGATGGAGGGGATTATAGGCGGAAGGCGTGCCGAGATGCCTCGCTTCACCTTCTCCTTTAGGACGCATGGTCTATTTCGTCACTCTCTCGCCACAGTGTGCTCCAGTGTGCTCCAAGTGTAGTTTTATCTCAAATAATTACTCAGAGATTGATGGTGAGCTGAAGTTGGGTAAATTATATGACGCATGTGTGTCCTTCCAAGGTTCTTGTCTGGTTGGCCGTGTTGGGTGTCCACAAGATGGGAAGGGATGAACTGTTGTGCAACCTTGCACAGACTCGATAGAAGCATGTGTTAGACTTGATTGATAACGCACAGCTTTTTGAAGATCGAACCTTTAGAATATTCTAAATCGGAGCTTAGGTCGTTAGACACCGTCGGGTCTATATCTTATGGTACCTGCAGCTCTAGTAGCCTCGTACATATATCACCAGATCAAACCACAGTATCTATCACAGTATTCAGCACAGCAACACTGCCTCTGCAACTATCCCTCTTCATGTACCTTGTGTATATTGTACCGGACACCCGTTCCCTCGTGTCACGTTATGACTTGAAGGGGGAAAAGGGGAAAAGAGGGGGAGATAGTGCGAGATAGTAGAGGAGCACCGGTCCCGGAATCCCGTGAAGAAGAAAAGCGAAGAAATTCGCGTGGAATAAACCTTCCATGTCAATTCAAGCCACAATGAAATATGTTTCTACGGTGAGTGTCAAACTTGCTTTTTTTTTCCCACCTGGCGTGGACATTCCGGATCAACATTCCACAATTCTTACCGTTCCCAGACATGATTCTAGAAAGTTTAGAAAGCTCCCGAGACCATGAATAATGTGATGAATTGATTCTTGAATCGGCAGAGAGACGGGAAATCTAATTAAACAATTACAACACAACAATACTAAGTTCCGGCTATTGTTCGGAGTCCGGTTGACCGTTGCTTTTCTCAGGGACCAATGATGAACTTCAATTTCACACCCGGTTTCGGGATCCACCCTCCAGGTACGGGGAGGGAGAGACTCGCGTGGTGCCTGTTTTTAGGTAAAATCAGATGCGGAAGTGTGTTGTTCTCAGCCTTAAAAAAGAAACTCAATTAATGGAATTTGCTAAACATCCAGGATCTCAGGAGTTGGCTGAATCTGTCGACGATCGCATTCCTGCCGAATCGGGAAATGATAGTCAATATGAGCTAGCGGGGAGTACTACATCGCTAATGCAATGCACAGTTGTTAGACCGTAGAAAGGTGTTGATAGCAAATAAAAATGAGGGGGAAATTGGGTAATTCTCCAATTAATTCAAGACATATACCTCAAGTCGTGCTCATTAGGTTACATTCAACTTGAACTCCCCAGAAATTAGACTCTGCAACTTGTCGTGCCCGGGTCATACAATCACAGTTACTGGCCGCACGCGATGGTCATGTCTCGGGTGTGCCTGCGTGATGGTGTCCACTCCGCGTTGATCCTATCGGGTGCCCCGAATCCACAATCCATCTGTTCCAGATGACTGCAGCCTTGGCCACAAAACGCAACCATATTGTTCTTATCATATTGTTCTCGGGCCCATAACCTAATATACCCTGATTTGTCTTATCACTTCCCAAATGGCGATCTATCCCTGTAATGCATATATATTCCGTAAGGGTCCCATCAGTGGAGATAATCCAAAGCTGTTCTGTATCCGTGTGTCCTTGGCTGGGTTTTCCAAAAGAGGGACCCCTTAAGGCACTGTCAATATGCATTTTTCTACTGTGGCTCGTGGGACTGCCGTCCTGGCTGCGCTGTCTGGTACAGCTGCAGCAATTGTAACATCGCCGTTCAAGCGCGATTTGAAGCTTTCCGCTGAGCTGGGCATTCATCCGGATACCCTGCTCGGCCACAAGACTTCGGTGCAGGCTGTTGCCAGTGGCCAGGCTGATGAGATCGTTAAGGCGGAATATATTTCGGTATGTGTCGAAATTCTCCATGTTCGTTGAGGACGGAGATAAATGCTGACAAGTCGTAGCTCCCCATTGACCACAGCAACTCTTCGGTTGGTCATTACCAGAACCGCTATTGGGTATCCGAAGAGAACTACAAGGAGGGCGGACCAGTCTTCGTGTATGATGTTGGTGAGGCAGCTGCCGATTCATCGGCTCAAGCCTATCTGGGCAATTCGACTACGTTCTTTTACCAGTTGGTCAAGGATTTCGGTGGAATTGGTATCGTTTGGGAGCACCGGTTTGTTTCCTTTTTCCTAGTGAAAAACTAGCCTCAATTAACGTGTATTAGATACTACGGAGATTCTCAGCCCTACAACGTCAGCTTGCACATGAAGCCTGAGCATCTCCAGTACCTGAACAACAAACAGGCTCTGGCAGACATCCCATTCTTTGCCGCCAACTTCACTCGTGCAAACTACAGTGATGTGGACCTGACCCCAAGTGGAACACCGTGGGTCATGGTCGGAGGCTCATACTCCGGCATGCGATCTGCTTTCACCCGTCATTTGTATCCCGATACGATTTACGCCGCCTTCGCTTCCTCCGCCCCCGTAGAAGCCCGTATTGACATGAGCGTCTATTTCGACCAGGTTTACGACGGCCTTGTTGCATATGGACACTCGAACTGCACCAAGGACATCCAGGCTGCACTGGAGTACATCGACCAGCAACTGTCACACAGCGAATCGACCGCGGCGTCCATTAAGCAAAAGTTCTTCGGCGAAGGCGCCGAGAAGAACAGCAACGGCGATTTCTCCGCCGCCCTCGTGATTATTTACAACTACTTCCAGTCTTATGGCATGGGTGGTGGTGTGGGCGGTTTGGAGTCATTCTGCCAGCACATGGAGACTGACCCGAAGAGTAACAAAACCGCACCCGCGCAAGGATTCGCCCACAGCCGAGGCAAGAAGTATGCCGCGGAGCGTTATGCATCATGGCCGCCTTTCACACAACTTGTCAATATGAATTTGGACACCAACTGCAAGAAGCTCGAAGCCAGCGAGCCCCTCTCGTGCGATTTGTCGCAGCCCTCCTCCGACCCGGACAGCATCAGCTGGACCTGGCAGTACTGCACCGAATGGGGATTCTTCCAGACCAACAACTTCGGACGCCGCTCGCTGCTGTCAAAATACCAGACCCTCGAGTATGCGCAGGAATACTGCAACAAGGCTTTCCCCGAGGCTGTCAAGAAGGGTCTGTTCCCCAAACACCCACTTGTCGACGCGACCAATGCGGAGACCGGCGGATGGACTATTCGTCCGTCCAACGTTTATTGGAGCGGCGGCCAATTTGATCCGTGGCGTACTTTGTCTCCCCTTGCGGAGGGCACTCGGTTAGCCCCGCAGGGTGTGTCACTCACAACGGAGATCCCCAAATGTAATGTGGAGACGGAGGAAAATACGATCTTTGGCTACATCATGCAGAAGGCGGAGCACTGCTTTGATTTCCGCACGAGCTTTGTCCCTGGAGCCATTTCCCGGGGTTACTTCCACACTGCTCTGACAGAGTGGCTCGGTTGTTTCAAAGCCAAGACTCGTT